GATGGCGCCGATGCGTCGCCGACGTCGACAGTGCGTCGCCGGTGCATCCCCGATGCATCGCCAATGCGGCGCGATCCTCCGACCCAATCTACTCCGACTCCATCTAGGGGGCCCCGAGAGGAGGGGAGAAAGATTGCGAAGGCCTTACGGCTGGTGCCGCAGACCCTGAATGACGACGACGACGACGACGAAGACGTTGACGACGACGGCGACGACGACGACGACGACGACGACGACGACGACGACGACAACGACGTCAACGACGACGACGACGACGAGCGCTCTCGGGGCCTCTTGGGGTTCGTTTCGGGGCCTCTTGGGAGGCTCTTGGGGGCTTCTTGGGAGCCTCGTGGGAGCCTCTTGGGGCTTCCTGGGGGTCTCTTGGGGGCCTCTTGGGGCCTCTTGGGGGGGTTCTTCGTGGCCTCTGGGGGTCTCCTGGGAGCTTCTCAGGCCGAGGGTTCGAAATGACCGTTCGGGACCCCCGTCTGGGCTCCCTCTTGGAGCCGTATGGGGGGCCTCTCCGGCTGTCTTGGAGGCCTCTTTGGAGGTCACGGGGCCCTCTTGGGCCGTTTTGGGGCCCTCTTTGAGGCCTCTGGGGCATCTCGGGGCGGCCTTGGGGGCCTCTTGGCCTGCCTTGGAGCGTAAGGGGAATCGATGATGTTTTTCCCTTGGGGCCCTCTTGGAAGTCCTCTTGGAGGCCTCTTGTTGTGTTTTGGAAACATATTGAGCCGTCTGGAGGCTACTTTGGCGACTTGGACCGATACTTCGGCGATTCGGGGCCTTCGAGGACAGTCTTGGGGGCATCTTGGAGCACTTTTGCCGCGTCTTGGGGCTCATCTGGGCCCCCAAACCGCCGGGGGGAATCGTCTCTGGGTGGCCACCAGGTTCCCCCCGTCGGTCAAAGGGAAGGGGCTTCTCTTCGATTCAACTACAACGTTGCTCAATTTCGCTGTGGCTGGCGCGCTCGAGGAGGAGGCCCCCGTGAAAGTGGGGGGAGCGGCGACGGGCCTAGGGAAAGGGGAGGGGAGCGGCGAAGGCGACGACGACGACGACGGCGACGACGACGACGACGACGACGAGTCAAACGGAACAGCCTCTTCCACACGCCGACAGGATCCGCGGATTTAAACCAGCTGGTGGGAGTCTCTGTTCAAGATACAAGCATGATGGTACACAGCTACTGGGGCACGCGACGGCAAGCATCTTGTTCCGCAGCGGCATGGCAAGCCGAAGCCACATTCGGACGCCTGCTGGGTGGAGCTCACATCAACTCTGTGTGGCTGGTCGGTGCATTGATAGATCCTTCTCGTTTGTTTTGCCGAGACTATAGATTTAGAGCAAGCGTTGAATGTCATGTTCATCATTTGCGTCAAACTAGCAAGCACTGTTGCTCCGAGCCTGGGGCCTGGGGACAGAAAAGGAGGGGGGGAGGCGGAAGAGAGGCGAGTTGGGGGGAGCAACTCTCCACTTGTGGACCTGCTCATCTTGCGTGGCGTCGGCACCGGCTAACCTGGCATTCGCAAGTGGTCGCAGGTCTGGCACAATGTGCCACAGATTAGGTCGTTGATGAATGGTTACCTTGGAAGGGTCTGGCGGGGGCCCTGATTTCTCCTCCACCTCCTCTTTCTCCCCCTCCTGAAGCAGGTGCCGCGGCATTCACGCCCGCCACGCTTTCGGACGAACAAATGCTTGGTCGGGACCGACTTGTGCCAGTTCTAGACGCTTCGCGTAACCCCACCAGCCCATGCAGAAACGATGCCCAGACGAGTTGCTTTGATCAGGAATACGGAGGAGCATGCAGTGAAATAGAGGGTTGGGTGAGACGTCATACCTCAAGAGGCGGAGGATGGAGGAGGAATCGGAGGAGGAGGAGGAGGAGGAGGAGGAAAAGGAAGAGGAAAAGGAAGAGGATGGATAGGGGAAGGGAGCGCATGGACGAGGGAGTAGCAGAAGGAGGAGGAGGAGAGGAGGAGAAATAGGCGGATGTGGAATAGGAGGAACAGGAGGGCGAACAGAAAGGCCAGTTGCTTGTTGGATGCTTTTCGGAGGCCCTTCGGGTGTCTCTTAACAGCTTCTTGTAGGCGTCTTGGGGCGTCTTGGTGGCCTCTTGGCGGTCCTGGGGGCCTCTTGAAGCGTTTCGGGTGCTTCGGAGGAGCCTCTTGGGGCCTCTTGAAGACCTTTGGATGCGTCTTGGGGCCTTGGCGCGTCTTGGGGCACTCTTGGGAGCCTCGGAGGCCATCTTGAGGCTATCTTGGAGGAGATCAGTGAAAGCGGGGGGCTCAATTAGCGTCCCCTAGGGGGAGGGGGGAAGGGAGGGGCAAACCACTCCCCGAAAGGGGAAGGACTTGGAAGAGGAAGCGCCCCAAAACCAACCACGACCGAAGGGGCTGTCTCTATCCCGACGAGTAAGCCTAGGCCGCTCTGGCACGCACCTGCGCCGACACTGCCGAGGGCGCAGATCCAGTACCACGAGAGCAACTGGCCGAGGCCTGAACAAGAAAAAGCCCCACCTCAGGGCCTTGGGCTCAGGAGTGGCATCAGCTCAACACGGGCAGCAGCGACGTCAAGTCCACCGCAGACGAGACCCCAGAACACGGAGACGATCGCCATCTCCGATGGCACTCGCCCTTGGCTGACGGGGCCACCCAGCGCGAGCGGCTACGCAGAGTCAAGCCCAGGGCGAGATTCTGGGACCCAAAACGCGGAATTGGGCTGCGGGCCTGTCTGTGGATCGAGGCTGGCCATCAGCAAACCCCGCCGCCTGGCCCTCTCCTTCTCCGCCGGGGACTGCTCCGAGGGGGCGGGCGGAGCGTCCTTGGGCGCCACCCCCGAAGCCGCCGGCAGGAGACGGACGGCGACCGCCGCCATTCCCGCCTTCTCTCGGGCCGACCCCGTCCTCTCAAAAATGGTCAGAAGATAGTCTGGAAACGATTTGTGTACTACTATGTTTAACCATTGTTTGCGTGTGTGTTTCCTGAGTGCTTCTAATTTTTCGCCCAATATCCCCCTGTAGGTGGACCCGACCGAAAGCCAGAACAAGGGGCGGCGGGGTTTGGCGCGAGCCCGGGGGACGTAGTAGCCAGCTTGGCTTTCTCATACCCCGACATGATCGCGTCGTAAAAAATAATCCGGACGGGAGGCTTCTAGCCGTTCTCGGCCTCGCGAGGCCCTCGCCGGGCCTCGGGACCGTGAAAAAGCGACTCGGGATGAAAAACCAGTCCCTGGGAAAGGGTCAGGACTTCCAGGGGCCCCGTATTCAGTATCGTTTAACCGACCCCCATCCCCATTCTCATCCCTTTCGAGACCCCCACCAAATTACCACCCCAGTTGGGGATACATCCCTCGAAACCGGAGGGAACGGCCTATATCCCCATCTAGGGGGGTAAATCGGCCAGTGGGGCCCAGGCCACGCCGCGGGGGATGAGGATCGGTTAAACGATACTCAGGAGGTCGGGCTCTGCAGGGTTCCACACCGAAGCAGCCACGCGCTCAGCAGCCCGCGCGATGAACCAGGCCTTCAGTCGGGCATGTGCCTCTACAGGGCGAACATTCGAAAATAGTCTAAGAATACTCTGGAATCGATTGTCTATACTATTTTGACTTTTTTCGAGCATGGTTTGACGATTTGTGTGTCTTCCAATATCCGCCCGTAGGAGGACATGTAGCCACACGATCAGCAACGCACGCGATGAACTTGGCCGTCTGGCAGGCCGCGTTCATCTGGAACTTGAGGGTCCCAGTGAGGCTCCTGGCTGGGCTCCAGATCCAGGGCCACTGTAGCGAAGAATTCTGCCCAGCCGTTCTCGAGCCAATCCACCATATCGGGGCCGCGGTCCAAAGGCGTCCTGCCACATCTGTGTGTGGTTTGGGGGGTCATCCGCTTTTGCTTGCCCTTGGTTGTGACATATATGGTGGGCTCGCACTGTTGAAAGGGATGGTGCGCCTGCACACAGCATGCAATATGCCCCCCCCCACCGCCCCTGCCAAAACTTAATGCGAGGTGATCGCGGGGCGTCCGCGCATGATCCAGATTTTGTTGCAAATTGCACTTGGCACTGTTGCTTTGCAAAGGGTGGTGTGGGGGGTGGCATTGGCCCGGGTTTGTCGCCGGTCGGATGCGGAAGGGACCTTATATGAATAAGGAGCAGTGATCGGCGAAGAAAAGGAGGAGGAAGAAAAGAAGGAGGAGAAGGATGAGGAGGCGGAGGAGGGGGAGGGGGAGGGGGAGGGGGAGGAGGAGGAGGGGGAGGAGGAGGAGGAGGGGGAGGAGGAGGAGGAGGAGGAGGAGGAGGAGGAGGAGGAGGAGGAGGAGGCGGCTGGCGGGCGGAGAGGGAGGAGGGTAGTTCCCAGCGGGAACGCCGCAAGCTCTCTCGCTCACTCCCATCCGCCCTCCCACTACAGAACTAGCACCGTGGTCTCAGCATAGGCAGGGGGGGGGGGCTTGGAGCAGGGAAACTCGCCCTCGCGTCCTCGCCGTCGCGTCCTCGCTGTTCCTCCTCGTCCTCGCCCTCGCGTCTTCGGGGAGGGGGGGGCTGGGAGCGGGGGAAGCATGAGAAGGAAGGGGGGGGCACGGAACGACGTCTCGGGCGCAGCACACCCCTCAGCAGGGAGAGGGCGCGTGAGGCGCCGTCTGTCCAATGGTTCCCCTTTTGCTCAGGTTCTGCGCTGCTCGCGAAGCGGAGCCTTGGCCGATCTGTGGTTCGGGAGATGGGGGTCGGAGAGGGAGAGGGGGGGGGCGGAGGAGAGCACAGACCCCGCGGGCCGATCCTCCGATGCTCCTCCTCGCCCCTCTTCGTGCTCCTCCCCTCCCCCAGCGCCTGGGGCGGGGAGGAGGGGGGGGGGCGGGGGGGGAGGGGCGGAGTCCTCCCCCTGCTCCTCCTCGCCCCCCCCCCCCCTGCTCCTCCTCGCCGGCCCTCCGCCTCCCCCCTCCCCGCCCTCCCGCTGCTCCTCCTCGCCCGCGAGAACCCGGAGAGAGTGGGGCTGGGGGGGGGGGTCGGCAGGGCCGCGGCGTGGGCGCTGTGGGCCGCCGTCCTCGCCGTGCCGGGGGCGGCGGTCGCGGTGCGCGCGGAGGCCCGGGGGGGGGCGGGGGCCTCGCCGCGCGGAGGACGAGTGAGTGAGGGGGTGTGGGTGTGGGGGGGGGGGGGCGGCTCGCCGAGGGGTTGTGGCGGCTCGGGAAGGGGGGGGGCGGCTCGCCGCGCGGAGGAGGAGTGCACGAGGGAGGGGGTGTGGGGGGGGGGGCGGCTCATCTTGGGGGGCTCGCCGCGTGGCGGATGAGTGCGTGAGGGGGTGGGGGGGGCGGGCGGCGGCCGGAGGCGGGTTGGGGCGGGGGGGGAGGGCGTGGAGGAGGCTTGGAGGAGGCGTGTCCCGCCGCGGCTGGGCGGCCCTCGTTCTGCTGGGAGCGGGCTCGAGACCCGTGGGGGGCGGGCGTGTTCTGCTGTCGCTCGTTCTCAAGCCGGAGCTTCGAGGGTGGACTCTGCACTTGTGCCTGGAGATCTCCCTGGCTCTACCTTCATCGATCTGGGGCACATCGTCTAGCATTTCTCCCGGCTCGATGCTCGATCCCCGCCAGTGGAGATAAGGTCGTGGAGGAGGCGGATGGGGGTGGGGGAGCTCAGGGAGGGGAGGGGCGTGGGGGCGTGGAGGAGGGGGGGGGCGGGAGGAGGCGGGGGTGGGCGGGGGGAGGAGGCGGGTGGGCGGGGCGTGGAGGAGGCGGGAGGCGGGGAGGTGGAGGAGCGGGTGGAGGAGGGGGAGGAGGTAGCCACGGTTCCTGTCTGAGCTCGTTCGGAGTCTGAGCCCGTTCGGCCGCCGAATGGACAGCCGAAGGGGCTCAGTTCCCGACAGGGTCGAGGGATTTGAGAGCCCGGTCGGCCGCCGAAGGGGCCACGTCGTGGGTCCACTCAGCGGCCGGCTGGGCTCAGACGCCGAACGGGCTCAGAGGGGAACCCAGACATGCTGGTGCTTGACATCGCTCGGACGTGAGCATTTTTCCTTCGGCGAGGACCATCGAGGAGCATCCTTGACCACCTGGCGGGAAAACCGCGCACGAAGCCGAACAAAAGCACACGGAACGGACGTCCGAGCGATGGCGAGGGTGACGTAGCGCAAGAGGCGCGACGGAAGGCTTGGGGTCGCGTTCGGCCGCGGGGGCCCCCCGCAGGGCCCGGGAGGGTCAAGGAAGCGACTGGGGACAAACTCGGGGGCGGCAGAGAGGGGCGTGGTGACTAATTAGGGGGGGGATATCATTAAAACGACACGAAGATCGGGGCAAAATCCGATCGGGATCACTCGAAATCTCTGAGAATCGGCGGGTTTGGAGGATGTGTTGGGCGCCGCGGCCGCTCGAGAGCGTTCCGGAACGCTCTGAGAGCGCTCCGGAACGCTCTGGAGCGATTTATCCCGATCCTAGCAAACTTGGTCAAGGAAACGACTGGGGATAAACTCGGGGGCGGCAAAGAGGAGGGTGGTGACCAGGGGGGGGGGATTGACGGGGCCCTGGGACACACAAATAAATACACACAGATAAAAAGGCTCCCCATATTTGCTTATATTTTATGGGTGTTTGTCTTCCCCCCCACTTCCCATATTTTCCCATGTGTTCTGGGGAATCGCCGATTGATTGTGTCTGTGTGTTTCTTTCACTCCTGAGGGATATCATGGCGGGGGCCATGATATTTCCCCTGATTTCATGGCGCCTCTTCTTGTTTCATGACCATGGCCCCCCCGCTGGGCCGCGCACATGCCGCCGGTCATGATTTGCACCCCCCCCCTCTTGGACACCCTCCTCTTGGCCGCTCCCGAGAAACAAGCGGGTTTCGGAAAAGGGTCGGAACTTCCGGGGAGTCCGGATGGAAGACATTCTAGCCGATGTCCTCCCCTGCGCCCCTCAGCCGCTGCCAACCACCAGCAACGCATGGTGGTAGTTCTCATCGGCGAGCCCGTGAATCTCTGCTCTGAGTTGGGCCAGCCGGCCGGGAGAAGACGGAGCTGCGACTCGGAAGTCGCCCGCTCCTCGGGCGAGCCAGCGCGACTGCAACTGTACGCCGCGGGCGGAGCACGGCGTGCCATGAGCACCCACCGCGCCACCCGCGGATTGGCCTTGGGGTCAAGAGGGGGAGGAGAACCACCACTCACCAGACCACCCCAACCCAACCCGAAGGCTTCCATTCGCCCTCCACTTCCAGTTGGGGGGGGGGTCGGGGAACACTGACAAAACACATGGAACCCGAACCCCCCCCCCCACCTGAAATTCGGGTCTTCGGGTTGGGTTGGGGTGGTCTGGTAGGTAGTCATAAAAGGCGGAGGGACGGGGGGGAGGGAGCGGGTTGGGGGGGGGGAAAAGGTGAACATTTGTCGGGACGAGTTGTACGGAGCAGTTTCCTGTTCCCTTGCTCTGGCTGGTTCTGGCCTGCCTGGTCCGGGAGCTCTGCTGCGCGAGTGCGGTTGTGGTGAGCGATTGGCCATCGGGGGCCGCTTCCAGGGGAGCGGCAAGCCAGAAAAAAGGAAGGCTACTCCATCCCAGGTCGGCTCGTGTGCAATTACCGGTGTGCCTGGCGATACTTCGCTTCGCACTGTTACATCAGCCTTGGCGAATCGAGCTCACGCGACACGCTATGCGAACGTTCCCGGCCGTCTCCGCCCCTTCTCTGCAGTGGTGTGTCTCGCTGCGAGGGGGAGAGTGGAGAGCGGTTTGGTGGGCCTGCGGAGCATTTGGAAGGTCTCAGTGGGTAATGTGGTGAGAAGGAAGGAGGTGAGAAGGAGGAGGAGGAGAAGGAGGAGGAGGAGGAGGGGGTAAGAGAAGGAGAAGTAAGAGAAGGAGGAGGAGGGTGAGAAGGAAGAGGTAAGGAGGTAAGAGAAGGACAAGAGGAGGTAAGAGCATGGGGGGGCAAGCCAGGCGCGCTCCCGCCTATCCCTTCCCACCGCGCCAATTTCTGTGCTCGCGCGTATCGTGACGGACCTGGAACTCCCACACAGACCCCCTCGTGTCGTGCGCAATCCGAAAAGGGAAGCTGCGTGCCTAGCAGGAGGGGGGCAAGGAGGAGGAGGCGACGGATGAGCAGGAGGATGAGCAGGTATTTTTGGATTCCCAGATCCCAATCTACTTCAAGCGCCTTCCTACTTCAAGAATCGGCGGCATGCTTTTGCTGTGTTTTGTGATTCTCTGGGAGGGCCTGGACCCAATCTGCTTGATCCGCCTTCCTACTTCACGTGTTTACCTACTTCTTCCGACCGACGTGTAGGGCGCGGAAGGAGGAGGAGGACGACGACGAGCACCAGCAACGGGAGTGGGAGTGGAAGGAGAGGGAGGAGCAGGAGGGCCAGGGGAAGGCGGAGGGGGGCGGGAAGGCGGGGGCCGACGACGACGAGAGAGGTCCCGGGTCCAGAAGAGTGGCCCGCGCATGGGCGTTAGCGCCGATTCTGAACGACGGGAGTAGCTCGTCGATCCTACAGTTCGGGGGTGGACAGACCTCCTGCCCTGACACGTCGATTAGCGAACTGGCCGTGTTCGCTTCGCGAGAGGGCGTCGCGGCCGTCGTTCTTGCGGGTCCATGTCCGGCGGTTTCGGTCCCATGCCGTTTTCACTAAAGGGAGGTTTACTAAAGGGAGGTTTGTCCACCGCCGATTCTGAACGACGGGAGCAGCTCGTCGATCCTACAATGAGATCAACGCTGCAGCGGCAATACCACTTCGAAAGACGGAAAGCAATCAGAGTATTACAACAACACATTAAACAGATCGCAAGGCCAATGTTTGAAACCATGTGTCTAAAAAACAATTCGTGGACAGGGCCGCTTATCGTGACATCAGAGCTTGGGGAGAGATGAGGGTAGTATCTATAATAATGTGCCATATTGAAGTGGGGAGGAGGAAGAGGAGGAGGAGGACGAGGAGGAGGACGAGGAGGAGGAGGAGGAGGAGGAGGACGTGGAGGAGGAGGAGGAGGAGAGGAGGCAGAGGAGGCGAGGTAGGAGGGGAAGCGGCAGGATGATCGGTGTGCTTGAGGAGCAGCCGTAAGGGGCCGGGCAGGGCAGTGAGGAAGTGGGGCGCTGCTGACCGACCGAACCAGAGCCCCCTTTTATGGCATTCGAGAGCCAGCCTGGTGACGTTCTGGGATCGGTCCGTCCTCCTTCTCACTCCTTCTCCTCCCCCCTCCCCCCGTCTGTCCTCCTCTACCCTTCCCCTCCCTCCCTCCCTCCTCGTCGCTCGTCCCTCTTCCCTCGTGCCTCCTCCCTCTTCGTCCAAGAAGGTGGGGATGGAATTCGGGCTCTCCAGATTCGCCCTGGGGCTTCCGCAGAGGCGAGGGGGAGGGGTCCGCTCTGGTCGGCCGACTGCTGCGCGCCTCCCTGGACACGGACTCGCCCGCGGTGCCAGCAGCACTTGCGTCTCGAGAGAGAGAGGGGGGGGGAGCACGGCAGCAGCAAGGCAAGGAGGAGCGGCGACGGCTCCTCGTCCGTCCACCTCCTCTTGTTCCTCAGCCCCCTCGTTCTTCCCCTGCCGCCCCTGCTTTCGTCGTTCTCCTACTCCCTCCTACCCCCCCCCCCCCCTTCCCTGCTCCCCTCCTATTCCCTTCCCTGCTCTCTGCTCCCCTCCCTTCCCTGCTTTCGTCGTTCTCCTACTCCCTCCTACCCCCCCTCACATCTCATGCCCCTCCTCCTTTTCCTGCCCCGTGTTTCGCACCGATGTGCATTCCACGCGAGGCTGGGGATTTTAGCTGTTGCGATTCCGGCGGATTTTTGTTTGCAGGGGGCAGTTAGCCAAGCAAGTTATCCTAGGCTTGCGATCGCAAGCGCTGCTTCGCTTACGGGCTCTCGGGAGGCCATTGTAACCTTACAGAGGCGGAAGGTTGTGGTCGTAGCCCGGTGCCAGCTGCAGGCTGCGGGCAACCTCCCCATGCCGCTTTGTCCGGCATGGGCCGGAGGCGCGTGCGGAAGGGCCAAAATCGGAACAACTCTGCACAAGAGTGCGGAGCCCGCCCGGGCTCCAGTGCCGCACCGCCCCCATCGTGTCCCTGCCCCGCGTGTGGGGGCAGGGAGGGCCGGGGCCTGGGAATGAACATGAAAAAGACCCAGGAA